CAATTTTTTTTGTATACTGAAATAAAGAACTTTGCAAATTTCCTTTGTTTTTATATATGTATATAGAGGGAAGCTCTCTATTATGAGATAGGCGCCTAATATATAGCGGCGTTTCTACTAAACTAATAATCTATCTACTGATTCCACCATGAATTTATTGCTCTTGGATTGAAAATTATTTAATGGAAAATTTATTATTAGATCATGCCATGTAATCATTGTAAAAAAAGAATTTTAGAATTTAGATGTCTTCAAGTTTCATTGAGATGAGCTTTTAAATCTTGTTTATTATTTAATAAATAAATATTTAGCAATAAATTCTTTATGTAAATAAAATAAAGTACTAATAAAAAAATACAGGATATATTGAATTACAGAAGTTAGATTTGATGATCGTAAACCATAAGGCGTGGAAATCGTAATATGAGATACCCAGAGTTATTTCTAATAACTCATGCTCCTATATTATAGTGAAAATTGTTGTTAAAAAGTAAATGTTATCATACAATAATAAAAAGGACAACCAGAATGAACATCAAGAGCCTCTTTCTGCGGTGCTTGATTTCAACTACCTGAAAACGAGTTTTAGGTATAATCCATCGCATGCTCTTTTTTCACGCATGCTGACTATATTTATTTGCATTTTAGACACATGAAATAAAGTTTTTTAATTGCAATACTGATATAAAACCCTCCCTATTAATAAAATTTCGAGATATCATATTGTCCAATATCTCGGAATTTTTTAAATCGGAATAATAGTTTTTACAATATCGTTTAATACGCTAAGGTCAAATTATCTTTTTAACAACTCAAGAAAAGGATGTGATTTTAATGTTCACTATATCTAGATTCACGTTATATTGCAAAAATTCTCTAATATTTTCTGATATAATTCTCTGATAAATAGAGTAATTTTTATCGTCATTATAAATATTTTATTTTTTGCATAAAAATGTATCAATAATTTTAATTATTCCTATTATTTTAATAAAAACATATAATGGGCTGTTCAAGCCGCTGGTTATTAATTTGCGAAACGTAATATCAATTAATAAAACAAAAATTACATTAGTTATAGATATAATGTCAAATAATAAAATTATATCAATATTTTATTTTATCTTAATTACCTATATAAATATTTGTATACTACATATAATATGGAAATGGAAAAAAGGATATTTCATTTTTCAGAAAAACGACGCTTCTGGATAATCAATCCATAGTTCTCCTACACCGGAACTTCGTAAAGGTGCAAAATTGTGGTAGAAAAAGACGATATAGACGAACGACAATCCTGGCGGGAAAAAAAAGGTAGAAGAAGAAAGAGAAGATCCTGATTTTCTCCTGATGATGCACCGATTAGATACAGTCCCCGGTAGTTTCGGATGCAGAATTTACGTATAATATAACGTAGCGGGCGGGACTGTATCCCGCTGACGCCTACCTGAATCCGATGTTCGCGCGCACAATATCGTAAGACACCTCCTTCACGAGGTTGAGTGCAGCTCAACCACGAAGTGGTGGGGATATGGAGTGTGGAAGGGATTGGAGTTCGGTCCGCAGGAGCCGGCGGCCGGCGCTCGTAACTGCCGGCGGTTCAGAACGCGGTAGTACGTGAGAACGCGCGCATTCGTGTCGGTAGTCGTTTATTATTGTAGTTGGTTCTGCGCGCCGGCTTTGATCCTACGCAAGTCCAGCTGATCGCGCGTGTTCCGCGAGCCGTTCGCTCGCCCCCTCGACGGCGTTTATTAACGTCGCGCGTCATCGATGTAAGTCCGCGAGATCTCTCTCTCTCTCTCTCTCTCTCTCTCTCTCTCTCTCTCTCTCTCTCTCTCTTTCTCGCAAAAGCAAACCGACCGGTAATTATACCGCGCATCAAAAATCTTTCGTCGCGCGTGTGTCACGTCCCGACACTCCCCATCCCCGCTCCCCTCCTCCGCTTCGCCATCTTTCCGATTCTCTCCATCGAGCTTGTGATTTGCCCGTACTATTCTCATTTTGACCGATCATATTCGATTTCCCTCTCTCCTTCGTCTGCTCCTTCTCTTCGCCTCGTCCTTCTGCTTCCTTTTGGATTCCATTACTTTGTATTCGAACATCATCGAAGGTGGTATCATCTCCGAAATTGTTACATATAATTATATTACATCCCACACATATATTATCCTCTTTTTCCACCTTTTTCTTACGCATCAAATCAACTGTGTTGTGCGTGCGCTTGGAGCAGAGCGTGTTCCTTGGAGCGGGTGAAGAAGAAGAAAAAACGACGCGAAAGAAGAAGCGAGGGGAAGACAAAGAGTGCGACGAAAACTTTTTGTGCAGAGACATGATCGTTGATCTCATTCGGTGTAATCGTTTGCTCGCAATCTCGTTATTTTGACAAAATCCTCCCTCGCGCGAGCATATCCGGACGTGAGTTTATCCGACGGGATAAACTTTTTAGTTCGCGGCGGAACAGTATCTCGTTCGCGCGCGATACTATATCTATATTGTACTTGAAAACGCATACGTACGCATCGCGGTGTCGGGTGTCTCCCGCCCCCCCGCCGTGATTCCACGTATCTTTTGATAGCGTGTACGCTAGTTTCGTGAATCACCGCGTCACATTAAAACAGCCAAAATTCGGGTGAAGGGTGATCCGAAACCATCCTACGTGATGGACACTGCCGATGAGCAAGATATAGAGAATCCAGGTGGAGGCTCCATGGCCAACGGCGCCAACGGAACCAATGGCACAAATGGAGCCAATGGTCAACACCAGACGCCGGAGGGTTCTTTGGTGAGTTTTCTTTCAACTTGTAATGGCGCCATAGCGGTCGAATTCCTTTACGTATCTCTGCTCTACATTCACTGAGTTCGCTGGGGATAAATATCGATGCTAAATTGATATGTATAAACAGCGAAACATATAAAACGTTCGATACGTAACAACGCGTCTCGTCATTGTTAATAGTATTGAAAAAAAAAACGCATGCGTATTAGGTCGTTATAAAGGTTAACTCAATCACTATGTTATTCGATTACAATCCCGTCAATTTAACGTTCTTTTTCGAATAATATTTCTGTTTATCATTGCGAAAGAAACGCACGATCTCGTATCTATCTTATTCTCTTTTTTCGACTTAGGATTATGGCAGAATTCGCATTGAATAAAGAGATATCGAAAGAATCTACGACGCAAAATGTTTACTTTTAGTGAAATCTATGGTGGTCGAAAGTCCATTGTACGGCATACAATTCGGAATAGTCTACCGCATTTTTGCATATAAGTTTTATATATATATATAATATTCAATATCTGAGACTTTTCGATAATTAAAAAAAATTTCGGTATCTGAATGATTAGGCGAGTAACGAATCGATCAGTCAGAAAATTGAAAAATGATCGAGAAAAACATCATTTAGTTCGACAAATCTAATTCTGATTGGTTTAGGCAATTTCTTCTATAAATTTTTATTTAGTTTTCATTTATCATTTACTGCGTTCTTTCATTTCCGCCAAAATATCTTAATAAGAAGACTGTAATGTCTCATCCATGTGGGCATTTGAGCGGGAATTTGAACATAATCTACAAGGAATCAATATATTAACCTTTATTAATGAAAAATGAATTCCTTTGTGAATATCTTTAGATCCATAAGTATAAATTGTTCGAGCCTTTTTTTTGAATGTTGGTTTTGTCAGCAGTATTAACTATGTATGGACTATGTCGAATCCTAATACAATAGATTTTCGACCATCACGGATTTATATTTTTTTGAAAATAATGCTTTGTCATGATGTACTTTTTCTAAAACTCTTTGTTTGACGTAAGATATGCAAATCTATAGATGTTTAAGTAAATATCTCATAATTAATTGAAATTCTAAGAAAGTTTAATAAGAGAAATTTGTACGGAAATTTGTAAGAAATTTGTATCTCCAAGTCAGCTACAAAATGCATGTAAAACTTTTTTGCGCTCGTGATTTTTTCGAATTATGACATAAACACCTATCATTTTTTTTACATATTTATAGATATTTATAGATATAATAGCAATGCCATTTGCATTCCAAATTTTATTCGAGTTCAAAATTGTTACTCTCATTTTAAACTATATTCAAAATACTTACAATTCAATTTACTACTTTAATACTTAAGATACTTATTATCTCGTAAACGAGAGAGAGAGAGAGAGAGGGGGGGGGGAGAGAGAGAGAGAGAAACAAATACATAGTAACAATTTTTAATTATACTGAGAAAAATGTTGGGTAGAAAATTTTAAGTTTAAATCTACTATAATTCTAGTTAAAATAATCGTATTTTTCGGATTTAATTAGAAATCTTTATCCGTTTCATAAATAAATCATTTTTTTCATTCTAGATATAATTTTGATTGTAACTCCTAAAATATCCCCTATAAATATGCAAAAAAAATTATAGGTATCTATTTCAAAAACCTATGTCGACTTTTACAACTCAAAAAGGTTTTACAACGCTTCATGAGAAAAAAAATTACATCCACTTTAGTAGTTGATTCAGAGCCGAAGAATTTCTTTTGCTATAAACTTTTTTATAACTCAATCACTTGCAAAATATTTGCATCTATGAATAGACATTCTGTATGTATGTACGTATGT